TGGTATTAAGTTTTTGTTACATATAGATTCCCTGAGTACCCATAATGTAGAATAATTTTAAAAAATACTCGAACTCAAATTTTGTAAACCAGGGGGAGGGTTTCTTTTTCAACAAACTAAAAATGGCTTGCGCACGAAATTTAAACGATTAAAGAATCGTATTTTGAGTTAATGGATGGAAACTTTGTTGGGTTTTTAATTACTGTACAAAATTTCAGACAATTTACTTTAGTTTAAGCCCCTTTAACTATTAATTTTTTCCTAAAAAATCAGCCTTTTGCATGCCTAATTAATGCATGCCTTTACCTAATTTGCATATTGCTGCAATATACAAATTAGGCAAAGGCATTAATTAAGCATGCAAACGGTGATTTTTTGGAAAAAATGTAAGTTTGCGTGAATAGAAAAAGGGCTTAAACTGAAGCAAAGTGTCTGAAATTTCGTGTAACAATTAAACACCCGACACATTTTCAACACATGAACTCAAAATACGATTAAAGCTTTTAAATCTCGTGCGCAAGCCATTTTTAGTTTTAATAAATAATAAATGCAGTAATAAATTTACGTGGTGTTTCCACAAACAAAACTATTATATTTTATCGCCATGCAAACATATTACAAAGAACTTATTATTACATTTTTAGTTTGTTAGAAAAGACACACACCCCTGGTTTACAAAATTTGAGTTCTATGGCTGTATTACAAAGTGATAAACTGTTGAAAAACTGCAGTATAGAAGAATATTTACATGGGCTAAAGTTAGCGGAGTACTTTAGTTTATTTAGGCTAATACTCAAATCGTTCTAGAAATAAAGAATTTTCTTCGGCAAAGCTTTGAACCATAGAGCTTTGAACATCTAAGGAGTAAGGGCCTGTTCAAATGGCCCAACACCACCGAACGATTCTTAAAAAAATGTTTGATATTATTTCTCTCACAAATATTTGAAAGAACAGATTTTCATTGAGAAAGATGTTATCATTTTATCATCATCCTATCTTGGGTAGATTTTATAATTTTATAATTCTGGCACAATCTAATGGAGTAAATTAAAGCGCAGTTGCAACAACGTTAATGAATTGACTTATATTTATAAGACTACCAGACTTCACCTGCAAGAATGGTGCTGAAAATCATTGCTAAAATCAGGAGAGTACCACCACCATTATCAAAACTAACGACCCCCATCGTGACTTGTGCGTACAACCTCGTTAATGCTCAGTCGGTGCTTACAGTTTTTGCCCAGCTCAAAATTTCGACAACCTTTTTGATGTCAAGTTGCTCAGTTATTTTTACCGTAAACTTCCGCGTAAACTAGTGACCATAAAACGACTTCCTTGATCAAACGTTGTGCTTTTAGCAATCACCCAAGCATACGCAATGACAATATACAATTCATTTGAATGATATTTATTGAGATAACGAATTCAAAGACTATGGTCTAAACTTCCTGCACAGTTCCACTTCCTTGACAATGTATAAAACATTTGTTATTTCCTCCTGAAAAGCAGCTCCCTGCTTGGGGAACAAGTCAAAGTTTCATATGCAAAGAATGTTCAATATCTAGCTTACGTTAACGTGGGCTCAGATTCCAGCCGTTGGGTTCTCATCAAGCGACTTCGGAACCGAACACAGATTCCAGGTTCCACTGATTCACACGAGGAATTCTCATCCGGTCCTTTGAGACTAATTAAAAAATGTTATCATTATTACACGGCTTCAAAAACTTGATTATGAGTAAAATAATCAAGCCACATTGACTCGAAGTAAATTAAATAAAAGTAGGGTAAGTGGAGGATGATTGGTTAGTAGAAAAGTAGGGTTAATGGAGGAAATGGCCATAATATTTAACGTGAATCGTGCATGATGTGAAGCGTGAAATTTTACTTGAAATGACATTTAAAGTTCGAACCTGTAGTACAGTAGCTGCCAGCGAAACAAAATTGGTCAAAGCAGTAAGTAATTTCACTGAAACCAAAAGGTTATTCACAACCTCGTACCCAGGTAGACGCTGGTCACGTGATGATTTTTGTAGCAGATCACGTGACCAGCGTCTACCTGGGTACGAGGTTGAGTTATTTAAAGTGCATTTGAAAATCACTTTCTTCTGCAACCGCACCGAAATTCTAGAGGTTATACATTGGATCTGGCATTGAAATTATTCAAAGGGCTAAAAATTTCATTCCAGTAAGCTCACTCCAAATAATTTACAATGCCTTAGTTCTGCTTTATTTTGATTACTGTTCTCCACTATGGGACACGCTCTTCAGAAACTTCAAAATCGTAGGAAAGAATAATTGCCGGCGCAAGTTACGAATTTGATTCTGCTGTTGTTCTTTAAACTTTGGTTGGGAAACTTTAAAAAGTAGAAGACAGAAGATGAAGTCCATTCTGATTATACTGCTCCTAACTTGAAAGAGTCATTGATTGTGAGTAGTTTAACACAAGCGAACTACAATTTAAGAAATAGCTATTCTGATTTAGCTCTCCCAAAACCGAGAAGGGACAGCGGGGCAAAGCTTTGGAATAGCCGTTCTCGGGAAGCAAGAAAGACACGATCAATCCATATTTTCAAAGAAAATATTAATCTTGATTTTGTTACTAATGTTATTGTATGGATCACACTTCCTGTATTCAGCATGCACTCTTGTAAATAGTTTTTCTTTGTTTCTACGTATTTTCGTGTAAATACTTTTTATATAAGGCACCATGCCTTCATTATTTATGACTGGGGGTGGGCTGGCAAAATTCAATTAACAACTAAACAAAATGTCCTGCCCCCCCCCTACATTACAAAAAAATTCAATGAATTCACATGAATTGTAAAAAATAGTACCCCCCCCCCCCGTGTATACATAGACACATGACCAGGCATCATATCTACATTTACTTGTGCCTTTAACAATATGCATACTTCATCAGAACAAACTCCGCCAATCCTAAGGCGCTGTTACACTATGTGTGACGAATTTTTTCTCAATTCGTCGACGTGAGCGCCGGCACACAAGCAATGTTTATTTTAAGAAAACTTTATTACTTAACTGTTTAAAGAATTGAACAACGATAACTATAATTATCTACTAATACATACGAGCCAGTTCGAAGAGAAGATTTCACAGCACTTCCGCACTTCTTTCTCGGCGAATAGGTGTACAGTTATCTAGCCTTTCGTAGTTATCCTTGACGGTGGTCAAGCTCAACTTCAAATCACGGTTGAGTTACCATACATTGAACTTCGCATTCATCAGAGCGCTGGTTGTCATCGAAGACACCACCATTCGCTGCCCTTTAGTACGATCACCGAAGATCATTTACTTGCGACTTCAACAACTTATCAAGTCCTTTTGACCTTCAATTCACCACCCAAAGTACCACTTCTACCATGTGCCATTTCTTTTCGTTAAGCTTTTATGGCTCTCTCTGATATTAGCATATGGTTGCCCCTTTTTATGGCAACCGAATTAATTTGCATCTACGTCATATTTACATCATGAATTATTTCTACATCATATTTACATAATTCATTACACCATGCAACTTGTCTTGCAACTTGTGTCGCAACTGCAAGGTTAACAAACATTACAAAAAATTGCAAGGTGTAACATACATCGCAATCATCAAGTCTCGCAACATTTTTGCTGCAGCAAGCATTGCGGAAAGTAGAACCTGATTCTATTTCGTGCAACGCTTGTTGCAACGAAATTGCGAGACAAGTTGCAAGACAAAAGAATTTTGATAAAAATTCTGACCTAAAAATTAGAATCCAGTTTCAGTGTATTTTCCACACTACAAAGTATATTTTCTACTAAAGCACATATACTTAACTATACTAAATTAAACCATGTATAAAATACCTAGTATATACTAGTCTATACAGTGTACGCCGAACTCGCTGTGGACGTAATGTTGCTACAGTGCCGTACTGTAGGAAGCTCTTTTTATTGGGAGCGGGCTGAAAACGAGGGCCGAAGGCCCGAGGAAATTTTTAGATTTAGAGTCTCTGAAATGCCATTTCCTGGACTTTGGGAAAGATTTAACAGAATTTTGATGGTCGGAAAACAGTGTTTTAGTATGTCGAAATTTGCAATTTGGTAGTTGAGTAGTAAATAGTAGTTCATGGCAAAAGTTATAAGGTAGATGTTCGATTGTTTTTCATATTAGCTGCACGCATTGCATTTTGGGTATTTGCGCATTGCATTTTCGGTCTATCAGTGTTGATTAAATGGAGAATTTTGCTAGGTACATGAATTAAATTTGCTGCCTTACTCGCTCTCTGCGGTAGCAATAATCGTTACATGTCAAATTTTCCCCTACTATAATAAAATAACTGGACCCCCCTTCTGAACTAATATTTTTAGGTGGCCCCCTTTTTTCGGTCAAAAACACCTCATGACCCACCCCCTTCTTTTGTCAGCCCACCCCCGGTCATGAATAATGAATGATCTCTAAATTGACGACGCCCCTCATGAAAACCAACGTATGTTGATCAGGCTAGCGTCTTGAAATAAGTTTTTACAACACGACGATACTACGAATGCAGATGTTTGTGGCTAGCGAGGCGTATGTGTATATATATATAATTGTAGATATGATTGCAGCGGATTTACGGACTGTGCAGTACAGTTTTGTTAGAAGTTGTCTTCTGATTACGACAACAAAGAGTTAAATTAAACGAGTTTTTTATTCTTTTCGATTTTTACCCCCCCCCCCCCCCCCCCATTTTCTACCGCACCAGCATTTTCTACCGCACCCCGCATTTTCTACACACCCCGTGACCCCATACCCCGTGATCCCGCACCTCACATATTCAACTAAACCTCCACCAGTTTAATTATCTCGTGTTTAAAACGTTCTAAAACTCATTAGGATTGCAGGTGTTGGAAGCTATATCTTTCAAGTTACCTTTCCAATATAAGTACAGTTACGCTAATCTAGTGGAGGTTACGGTTTGAAATTCGAATATTATATAAATCAGTAATGAGACAAAAAAACATGACAAGTTCCCAAGTATCAGCTACATCATTATTATTATATATTATTATTATATTATTATATATTTGATAAAATCCTCACAAAATAATCATATGTCCACATGGCTAGAAATCTGCGACAGCCAGCGGTTTGTAATGCAGGCGCACGGACCGTCAGTACATCATGTTAATGAACATATTGAAAAGCCGGAAAATACGTAAAGAAACGCTCTTTAAATGTATATGCCCAATAAAGACATGCTTCCTTCTCGTCGGCAAACACTTCAAACTCCTTTATATTATCCTGTGGAGTTCTCGCTTGTTTTACTAGACTAATGACTTTAAATGACTTTTTTAAAATTAACTGTTGGACAATGGACAATAGCTAAATGATAAGTAAATCATGTCACTGACATAATTATGTCCAACATTTAATATTTTATGTCACTAGCTGATATTATCTCACCTTTATAGAATATGAATCACGAACAAGAATATGAAAAAAAAGCAAAATTTCGATGTGCTTGCATCGCGATTTAGCGAAGTAACAAGGCGATTTTAAAATGGAAAATAGAGGCAAAATATACCATTCTTTCCTCTACTTGGGAACAGTATTGATATAATATCTTTAGATAAAATTGTGATAAAATTCATGGGGAGAACAAAGTGTATCGATTACGATTTATGGAAATGCAATGTTGATGTACGATCAACCTGAAAACTGAAGCGATTATGGGGTTTCGTCGTGAAAATAACCTGGATTACTAGTAAAGTGCGCGTGATTATATGTGCATATTACTGCAAAATTGTTTTGCTTCGGGAACAAAGCCTGCATCGAATTTTGAACTGAAACGTGAACAAGTACGTAGCTACGACGATTATCATTCAAGATCGATTTATGGAATCGTCATAGACCCTTTTCATAAATGGCTGCTGATTAAAAATTCTTTTATGTGCATATAAATTGGCCCAAAGAAATTCCTTTGAAATCTTCGAAATCTTAACATGAGTACGAGGCTAGTTGGGCCAATTTATATGCACATAAAAGAATATTTAATCGGTAGCCATTTATGAAAAGGGTCTATATTTGGTTTGTATAGGACCAACAAAAGCCGAAAAGGCAAGTTAACGTAATGCTTTTCTGGTTATTAAACTTATTCACTTAATATTTACATTACAAAGGAGCTAAGCGTGCGTGTCGGCCATGTTGTCGCAGATTTCTAGCCATGATTACAAGCAAATGACAATTGTAATTTATTTAAAAATACGTAAATTCGTACAAACACAGATTTGCATCGATGTGCTTCGAATACAAATCTTTATACCAAACCACTGCAACGCTACCACCAAATTTCTAACTACAATGAAAAAAATCGCCCATTGAGGGAGTTAGATAATCTACGCAACAATGTATCTAGTTTGCTCCATTGCACTATAATTGGTGCATTAGTCATATATTTTGTAAAATTTTTATATCATGTGTATAGAGAATCGCATTGCAGGAATGAATTTCAAGTTCGTACTGTCCTGAAGAATGAAGACGGAACATATAGTCACAGTAATTTAGATATATAGTGTCACTAATTAGCTGTAAATTTAAATAACCTGGACACTAGTGAAATGAAGTTTTTATTTTATTTCATTTTTATAATTCCATGAAAAAATGTTCCTAGCCCTTTAGTACTACACTTAATCTTAAAAATTTCTGGAAAAAGAAAGTAAGTTTCTACGAAGAGATAAACCAAGATTCTATACTTCGATAAATCAAACATTTTCTGTCGTCGACGCATTCTCACTTTCAATGGGCAATATAACTTCTGCGGGTCTTTCCATTGTACTATAAGTATTATTACTTTCCCACACTCCACTTTCGGCCGCATCACCTTGTGGTACGTTGCCCAACTTCTCTGAGAGGCCTGGAGTTGGCTCCCCTTCACTTGTCAGGATTTTATCACTAGTGCCAGTCTCTTGTGATGAAATTGCGACATTTCCTGAAGTATTGTCGCCTTCCAGCTGTTGAGCACCGCGGGAACGTTGCGGCAAAAATCTCAAACGGGCGTAATAATGAGAGCCTAGAGAATTCGAATTTCAACATGTAGGTCAGTAATTTCCAATCTTGTACCTAAAGCCACTCAGTTGAGTGACTCTAGGTACGAGCCAAATAATTAATATTTAATTTGTTCGGGATCAAGTAGCCTCCTCCGCAGGCATCTCACCCGAGGAATCGAGCAGTTGGAAAATTTTTTCAAAACCCATTCGCAGGCTAAAACCCATAGAGAGGCCTGCGGACGAGGCTAGGGATCAAGTCACCTGAACTTAAAATCGTAATTTGCACACCATAATCTCGAATAGCTACGGTAAATAGAATGAAATTAAAATTTGTAATTTTGAAATAAATGTGGAATGGACAAATTGGAAAAGGACTAAATAATTTTCAATTTTCGCTTAATTGAGAGCAGTTTAGCATAAAGAAATGAATGACAGGTTAGGATCGAACCAAGAGAAAAGTGATGGGAAAATGTTTAAATATTCGCGCAAAGGAAAACAGAGGGGAAAAATAATCGCATAGACTGAAAGCAAAGAAAAATACTTTTAATATTCAGCAAAAAAAATTGGCACAAACGGACGGTCGCCGAAAGAAAATTAGTACAGGTTAAAAATCTCCCCCCCCCCCTTTTGTAATCGCCCTAAGTAGACTGATACTAATATTCTTTCTAATCTAATTTTTTGTTCTAATGACAGGTTAGAACAATTTATCTTTCATTTAGAACAGATTAGAACTTGACCTCACCTGCTAATTTTCGACGTCGTCTTGGAAGAATGAAAATAAAACATGCCACTGTTACGACGATCACAAAAACAGCAACAACAACGAAGATGCCAGTCATCTGAGAGTCGAAGTGGACTGAAATATTTAAAATATCTTTGTTTACTCAAATACTAAAAGCGTCTCTTACATTTTGACTTTATTTATCAATTGCTCTCTTTGGTTGCGATAATAGTATTGACAATTTTAGCTGATTGCCTAGCTTTGACTGGATATAATTTTCCCTTCCTACAGTTCATAGTGATCAGAGGTTTAAGAAATTAAAACTCAGCTTTGAAGCTGTTAGGGGAAAAGTTTACATGATATACATGTGATCTCGATCTGATCCTTTAATTATTAAGCAAAAATTATACACTTTTTAAAATGAGGTGGTGGCAATCTTGACATTCCAGTGTTACCGGCATTAAGTCTATCGCTTACAACAGTTCGTCCACGCCAATCCATATCTTATATGAAGGGGGCGTGGGGGTGGGACGAACCACCAACAATTTCCGAAAGACTTTGAATGATATCTGCATAACCGTGTAAAAACAGCTGTAACAATATTTTTAACAATAAAAGTACAGTATTGGTAGGCTACAAATTGAGCTGTATAATGTATATTGCATTAAATTTAATATTGAGAGAACTAAGATTCCCAGCCACTGCTACTGCATGATAGTTGCTCAGCTTTGTGAAACGCACCTTTTGTGGCAAAATTGGATTATCATTACTAATAACCATGAGAGGTAGATCTTACCTGGACAAGGTTTTATTTTACATGTCCGAATCTCTTGAGCTGGCCCTTGTTTGCTACAATTTCCGCCATATTTTCCAGGGGGGTTATCACACACTCGTATCCTTATTTCCACACCTTCACCACACGTGGCACTGCATGGTGACGTTGTCCAGTTGCCGTAGGAACCATCGACTAGAAATAGAAATGCCGAATAAGGTGGAACTTTCGTACGTGTAATGTTTTGGCTTTGCTAAGAAGAAATACAATGTATTTTTATAGTAAAAAGCCTCATCTTGATCCAACCTGATACTCGGGGACTTCATCTCCGCTCAGCGGACGAAACATTAGTTCATTTTGTGGTGGCTCATTTTAGATAAGGGATGGTCCTTACAGGCTATAATCTGAGTTTCGAGTGCGCATCCAAATGACGCGTTTTGCGCTAAATTGGAACAAATTGTAGTTGAATCATAGCGACTGGAAGAATTGGAACATGCATATCAAAATATTGCGCTGTTAGATTATTATTTGTGTGTATAGCCACAATAATTGAAAATTAAATAAATCTTCTTTGTAATTGACTAAGAAAGGACTGCAATATTTGTGCGATCCATGTCTAGTTATATTAACTTGGAAAGTGTAAAGATGGTTTGTAACGCATTGAATTTTGTGTTGTAGCTTTGTTAAAGTTTGTAATCTTGAAGAAGTTGACACTCTGACTTCAACCATAAATCTACGCTCTTCTAATAACTCTCTTGTAAAATATAACATTCCTAAAGTAAGAACGCTATGTCACCAGAACAGTTATCTTATACGAGTATCGCGTGTGTGGAACTGCTTACCAGACGAGCTACGGAAACCAGAACTATCATTGCAGAGCTTTATTAAATCACGTGTTATAAACTATTACCACTCCGCAACATTAACCGTGTTTGACCAGGAAATTCCGCAGACGTGGAAATCAGTTTGTCTGAAATGTCATAAAGCCAGTTTTGGCAATTATTCAATGTAGTATACTTCATTTTATCCGAGGCGATGTAGAGTTGGGTTTTTCGCCATTTTCGTTTTATTTTATCGACGGATACAGAACCTATATATATTCTCGCATTTATTCTGTTTGACAATTTTGTCATTTTGTTTTCCAAAATTTCGAAATTTTTACGCTCTCTCTCTACTTCGGATGAAAAGGATTATACTATATTCTTGTTTGATATTTAAATTATAAGTTGTGAATTTTTGTATAGTGATGTTTTGTAACAGGTCACTAACGTAATTGGCTCACGCTGTGTTAGTGTTCCTGAACCGTCTTCCTGTTTGTACATGTATATTTCTGTTGACGGCTGAAGTTAATAAATAAATAAATAAATAATCTTGTCTCTATTGTTTGAAATTGTCAATGTAATGTGTAGGTAGGACTAATTAAATTTGGGACCCCTCAGTCCTGTTGTCTGAATCTAATTCAATCGTTTTGTTGATGATAAAGTTTATAAATATGAAAATAAAAACTTTGTACCAGCATCCTTTGTCTGCTTTTTGAGCAAACTAAATTAATTTAATAGATCAACCGTGCGGAAACTAATTGTTCATTTTGCAACTTTTTGAATATTCAAAAGTTGATTGAAGAGTTGAAATTTTGATATGCATATTCTTCCAGCCTCAGCAACATGTCAGAGTTCAACTTCAATTTATTTCCAGCGCAGAAAGCGTCATTTGGACATTTTAGAACTGATAGCAAGCTTGTACAAAGTTATAGTTTAGTAATTTTAGTTTAATTGACGCTTAATCCTTACTCGGACATGGTTTTCTGCTACAGTCTCTAAACTCAGTTGAGTTTCCAAGTCCACTGCAGTTCTGACCGCCGTATTTTGGTTCTGGATTGTTACAAAATCGTTCCCATATTTCCTCTCCGTCACCGCATGAAACACTGCATGGAATGCTCAAGGTCCAGTTGCTGTAACCACCGTTAACTAAAAATAACAACAATATAAAGGTCGCTTTGTACAACTGGAATTATTTTTTATTAATAAGTAATTGACTTACCAGGGCAAGGCTTTGCTGGACATGGTCTGTACTCAACAGGTTCTCCTAGATGACTGCAGTTCCTTCCACCATACTTTGGTTCAGGATTGTTACATTCTCGTGTCCATGTTCCAAAACCTTCACCACAAGTTACGTTGCAAGTACTGTTTAATGACCAGATTCCGTAGTTACCATCAACTTCCAAAAAAGAAAAACGATGAGATTTTGTTGACGAACTTTGAAACAGCCTGGTTAAAATTTTCTGTATAAACTAACAATTTTTTAAGTTCCTAGTTATTTCATGCCGCAGCTCAAAAGTTCAGATAATTAATTCACAACAATTTAAAGTAGTTTTTGATAATACCTGACATACGTTTCTGGATATCACTGTTCAATATTGCCATATACCTTGGTATACATTTTGGGATATCACAGTAGAAAATTACCACATACCTGGTATACATTTAGGGATATCACAGTACTCCCATCTCTTGTTCTTGTCTGTAGTAAAACACCAAGGCCGTTGTCCTGAGTTCTTAGGATTTCGACAATAATTCTTGGCGTTATTTAGTTCTGGATATGTTTTGTTCATGGTATGACGATGTGGACATTGCTCTGTCCATGATTGACACGGAAAACCTGAGGCTGTCACAGATATGTTGCCATGGTAACTGCTTCCGTTTAAGTACAGACAATCTGTGTGGAAAGGTGATTATTAGTCTCATGAATTCATTGTCTCAGCTTTGCGATATGACATTGCTTACAGGTATTGCTATATACATTGTACATATAATATTCTACATTATCAAACTTTATTTACACTGGATAGCTCTATCAGGTCTAAACTGTTCTGCCTTGAGCACCAGAAATGTCCATCCCGTCATTGGAGTAGCAAGTTCAGAGTACTGCATGCATGGGATAAAACCTGCAGTGCTTGGTAAAACACACAGAAGCTTTCTTCTCTCAGGCGACTGAGATCAAACTCAGAAAGCTGTATACTGCAGGAACGAACCTTCGACTCCGTCCAACATCCCGCTAAGTCTCGACCGCTGACTAGTAAGAGAAATTAGGTTTAATATAAATTTTATTCGAGTTGCTCTCTGGGCTGCATACCTGCGTTTGTATCCCATTCTGGAGCTGGAAATTTATCTAAAAATAGGCAAAAACGAGTTACAATAAACATAGATATGATTGTTAGATGATTATGGTTGATTGAGCCGCAGGTAATGCGATATACCACTTTACATGCTCTACCGAGAAACACTGTTCTTCGATTTAAGTGCATGATTGTCTTCGTATCGCCCATGCTGATGCCTGTTCACGGCGCACAATCAAAGTGAAAGGGTTAGTTTCACGGCGAACAACCGAAATGAAGGAGTTAGTTTTTAATGATGGAAGAAAACCAGGAGAATGACCTCGAAGGCAAATGAGAGAAACACGTACAAATCAGTTTCATATTAATCTGACACTGCAATCGAGCAACGAAAAATTCGTTGGCTCGAGCGGGATTTGAACTTGCATCTTCGGGTATCTAGACCGCCGCTCTACCTATTGAGCTATCGAGTCAACAGGGATTGGTAGCGAGTCTTATCCAATTTAAGTGCACGAAATATTTTCGTGACGACTTAACGCTTGAGTTCAAATCCCGCTCGAGCCAACGAATTTTTCGTTGCTCGATTGCAGTGTCAGATTAATATGAAACTAGTTTTCCTATCTCTGAGGATGGTTCTGAAATAGAATTGAAACACTGCGCGTCCTCAAAGACAAGCGTTAAGTCGTCACGAAAATATTTCGTGCACTTAAATTGGATAAGACTCGCTACCAATCCCTGTTGACTCGATATCTCAATAGGTAGAGCGGCGGTCTAGATACCCGAAGATGCGAGTTCAAATCCCGCTCGAGCCAACGAATTTTTCGTTGCTCGATTGCATTTTTATAATAAGCCAATATTGCCCGACTGTGGAGCGAATATTGCCCGACTGGCTTTGTTTGCCCAACAAACTGGGGGGGGGGCTGCCGCCCCCCCCGCCCGGTACGCCCATGACGAGAGTTAACTCTCATCTCGCTTGCCAACACTGAGGCTTTGGGCAAGTCTTCAAGCACATCAAGTCAGAGCAAGGTAGTCACTCATCTAAATAAATCACTACCCTCGACCTTCAGTAGCAGGCAGGTTTTTGATGATAAAATAGTAATTGGTGTACGATAAAATAGTAATTGGTGTGTATATACACTTTAATTTAATGTTACTTGATCTTCCACGCACTGCCCCCATTATAATGTTACCTGTAGAATTTGCGTCTCCATTGAAATACCAGCATTCTGGTGAGTCACCAGCGTTTCTAGGCGGTTGTAGTTCACAACGAAAGGGCTTCTTTCTCCCCGGGTGTCTAATTGCATAATACCTTTCAAACACTTTCCACAGTTCTCCACAGATATGAGTCAATTCAAGACACGATTCATGACATAACTTTTGCTCCTTAAACACGCTTTGGGTTCGATCACAACTTGGAAAATAATAACGACAATACCCAGTTGGGTAAGCTTGTAGACACTTTCTAATAGTGTTGATGTCAACTTTTAAATAGCGGCTTATTTTTGATACGCTTATCTTCGCCAATACATCATAGTACTTGTTAGCTCGATCGTTTCTTTTATTCTGATATTTGGGCGTCTGAAATACGTAGTTGGGTAAAGTAATTCCATGATTTTGACAAAAAGGACGGGTAAAGTTTACCAAAGGATAACAGGAACTCGAGTTTAGCGTTGGTTCAGCTTCGGCTGGAATGCACGTCCTATACAAAGATTGAACAAGACCATGAAATCTTTTTTAAAGCTTGTGCCTGGCAATGGCTGAGTACAATAATTTAGAACCGGCCATGATTCACCAATTAAGCCGCAATGGTGCCTAAACTGCCCTGTACAGACGAGCAAGTTCTCCTTGACATGTTTTATTTGTCTGTGTTTACGAAAAACTTGACTAATTTTTCATTGACAAGGAGCTTTGTTCAAAAGCTAGTCATACAAGCTTTGCATCAAGGAAAACTGTTAGTCTGTAAGGCCGTCAATATAATATAATATAATGAATTTGTCACTTTGTACATGATACAAATTAATTAAAGACAAATGTCAAATAAAGACAAATCGTGACAGGGGAAAGGAACAGGACTCTCGTCCCAATCGACACCTAACCCCTATGGAAAACTTGTACGTCACTGCGCACTCATCTTTGAGCAGCCATTAAGCCCCTTAATGCGGTGTCTATCAAAAAAGGGATTCAGGTTAAATAAACGTCTGTGTGTTTTCCAGCGTCTAGTTAGAATCGAATGTCTAGTTCATATTTCACCTAAATTAACTTCCACTGGCATGCAATTTCACGGTAATTTCGAAGACAACATTGTACCTGTTTTTGTCTTGAAGATGATGTTCACCTGTTAATGTAGGGGAAAACGTTAAATTAATATTGAAGTCTAGGTTACACGTCGGATGTTTTTCTGGCGCTGACAATGAAATGGGTTTCCTGGGGCAGGAGAAGAAATCACACGTGTATCATATGTTGTGCGCTGCATCGCAATCCCACCAATTAGATATCATTGAACCATTACATATCCTGGGAAGAGGGGGTGGCAGAGAAAAAGAACATGCAGAGAAGAATTTGAAAAAATTCCTGCAAGCATTTTGGGGAAAATGAAATGTTTCTGTTATTCTGTAACTACATGGAGTATACAGAAATATATAGAAAACATTTCCTCACAGCTCCTACACCGAACTGTAGCGAAAATCTCAGTGAGTGAAAGGCATTTGCTCTAGCGCCTAATGCACCACCAAATCACAAGAAACTCTGAATTGAGACCAAGGATGGCAAATTTTCTTATATTATTTATTATAATATCTTCTTATATTATTATAAGATTATTTTATTTTTGACCGAATTTCTTCATATATCTTCTTGTATATATTATTTTATTTTCTATAGCTTTGAAAAAGAAATCGAAATTTTAAAATCAGTAAACTTTCTTAGTTTACACAATAGATTTGTATCATATGACGTCATATCATGACGTCATTAAATTTTTGCTTTCAGGGGGGCTTATATTCGGGGGGGGGCTTATATTTGGGGCTTATATTTGGAATGAAGTGAGCGTTAGTACATATGGTGGGCTTATACATGGGGGCTTATATTCGGGGGGGGGCTTATATTCGGAGGTTTACGGTATGAGCTGATAGCCGATGAGGCGCGTAGCGCCGAATCGGCTATCGCTCGTATTCGACGAGAGTGAGTGGAATAACTGTTTTATTATATACACAAGGTCTGAATTCATAGACTTTGCTTTTCCGTTGTTTTCAATATTTTTCTATTCGATTTTTGTTTATGTTTTTATCTTCGCTCTTTCGGCCGAAGAACAGAATACCTCATATCCAGACCTGTGTATGCCTTGTGTATATAATAAAAGAAGATATTTCTTCAGAAAAAATCTTAATTCTTATTTTCATTACAGGAAGATTTAAGATTTAAAAGATTTAAGGGACTATAATAAAATTTTCGATGCCTTTATTACACGGTAACGACAATGTTTGAAAAACTGCATACAAGAATATTTAACCATGGCTAAAGTGGCAGGAGAGTACTTTCGTTTATTTAGGCTATTCAAACCGAACTAGAAATTAAGAATTTTCTATAACAAAGCTTTGAACATCTTAGGCTTCGTTCAAATGGAAAATACTGTTAATGGCTCAACACTGCATCCAACGATTCTAAAAATATGTTTGATATTGTTTCTTTCACAAATATTTGAAAACATAGATTTTCATTGAGAAAAATGTTATCATTTTATCAGATTTAAAAAATTAGCTGTCTAAACTAAATATTTAAATATTGTACAACGGACCTTAAGTGATCATTCTGTCTTGAATACAATTTCAATAATTTTATAATCCTGGCACAATCTAATGCGCAGTTGCAACAATGAATTGACTTGTAAGACTACCAGACTTTACCTGCAACAGTGGTGCTGAAAATCATTGCTAAAATCAGGATAGTACCACCACCATTATTAAAACTAACGACTCCCATCGCGACTTGTGCGTACAACCTCGTTAATGTTTTATGTTTAGTCAGTGGTTGCAGTTATTTGCCCAGCTCAAAATTTCGACAACCTTTGAGATGTCAAGTTGCTTACAACTGAATTATATTTAACCTTACCTGATGTAAAAATCTATATCGAAATACTTCCGCATAAAACAACTTCCTTGATCAAACGTTGTGCTTTGAGCAAGCAGCCAAGCATACGTAATGACAATATGCAATTCATATGAATGATATTTATTGACGGATACCGGAATTCAAATACTAGTCTAAACTTCCTGCATTGTTCCACTTCCTTGTATAAAACATAATTTATTATTTCCTCTTGAAAAGCAGTTCCCTGGTTGGGGAAGGAGTAAAAGTTTCATATGCGAAAAGCAAAATGAAAAAAATGTTCAATCGTTACCTTACGTTAACATCAAGCAACTTCGGAACCGAACAGAGATTCCAGGTCCACTTACTTACACGTGGAATTCTCATCCGGTACTTTGAGACCAATTAAAAAATCTTGTCATTATTACACGACTTCAAAAGTAGAATAATGAACCCACACTAACTCAAATTACTGAGTAAATTAAATTACTCAAATGTATGAACAAAGTGTGCATTATTTCACCCAAGTTTTGAGTCAAAAACTTTATCAAAATTTTATCCAGCCATTTCACAGTGAAGATTATAAAGTATCTATATAAAATAAAGTTATCTTATCTTTAAAATCTTATCTTGTCCTTACAATAAAGATATTTTTTGTGTAGGATTGCCACTTTTAAACGTGAAATGGCCATATTAATTAACATAAATCGTGATTTATGTTGTTCACGTGACGCGTGAAATAATGAAAACGACATTTAAACGTTTTTGAAAATAATTTTGAAACAAAGGATAGCGATATTACATTTAATAAACGACGTTTCCAAACTTGATTTTAAAAGGTACGTGTGGAAATGGCGTTCATGAAGTTCGTAATATTAAATACTTCATATCGTTATATATCATTCAAAAACTCATTAATAATTCATAAGCACACTGGCAAATCATGTCAACCATAATATGTCACGTGCAGTGGCTTTAAACCTGATAAAACACTCCTAATTAGTATTCTTTATATAAAGAATACTAATACGGCAGTATTTCTATTGAATTTGTAGTCGTGTTTGAAGCCGTTTAATAAACTCGCAGGTCGTGTTTTATATAGAGAATAATACATGGGTGCGCGGAAATACCAGATTTATTTCGAGTGTTGAACAAGATATCTCACGAGTGAGCGCAGCGAACGAGTGAGATATCATGCTCAACACGAGAAATAAATCTGGTATTTCCAGGCACCCATGTATTTTTCTGTTTATTATATAAAGGACAGTCTTTGAAAAGCGATAATTTTTACAGAAAAGCAAAAATTGAAAAGCGATAATTTTCACATGTGAGATTATCATAAATAATCTCGCATGTGAGATTATCACTTTTATCAGTGCTCGAAATCTCTATAAAGCACTATACTTTATATAATAAAAAACACTCCTGCTCGTTTATTAAACAGTACTTAAAAAATCATTAATAATTCATGAGGAAAATACAAAAGAAATGAATGTTTAATCAATGTTTGTAAATCGGATAAAGATTTGTCCTGATTTACATAAACTTCAGCTTTGATTTCCTCGGCTTAGACAATGTTTATTTTTAAAATTACTTCGCCAATAAAAATTACTCATAAGATGGGTCGTTTTTTAAGCACGTTAAAACATTCGCATCCGATCTTTATGAGTTTGTATATCAGATAAAGATCGGCTGCTCATGCTTTAACTAGTGCATGTAAATGATTAAACATTTCATCGGTTCGTACCATCGTCGTACTTATAATGCATTATATCACGTCTCATAATTTTAAGAATACACCATGCAAAAGGAAGTACATACGGTATATCGTCTGATGAGAAATCTACCGCTACTAACTCGTTCCAGTACTGGTCTGATACGACTTATAATAACTATATTAATAATTTTAGTATCGAACTGTCTCTAAGCCTCATTTTGTATAATTTCTTGGAATTAACAACGACCACAAATGCTTGAAAATAGAACAATTTTATTGTTTACAACGTTTCGGAGTGTTACTCCATCTTCAGGTAATAAAGATTGCCGTTAAACTTTATTACCTGAAGATGGAGTAACACTCCGAAACGTTGTAAACAATAAAATTGTTCTATTTTTAAGCATTTGTGGTCGTTGTTAATTCCAAGAAACTATATTAATATTTAATTGTCACATGTGATTGGCCAAGTGCGCTGTAAAAAGAACTGGACAAACGTGTTACTATAATAGATCGAAATTTAGAAAAACGCTTTCAAATTCATATTATCCCCCCCCCCCCCTTCCAATGTTGCCATTAATTCCCACCCAAGTCGGGCCGCAATATCAGAACGGTTTTATCATATACAATAAAATCCACAAAAAGGACATCGCATATCCAAGGGCTAATTCATTCAGACCATGTGCACTAGGCTGTAATTGTGTTCAAGGAGGTACGGCAGTAATATCTTAAAACTAGGAGTTACTATCGCAAGGAAAATGCTGCCGATATGTACATGTAGAATGTGCTACAAAAAGAGCGTTTTTCACTGTATGTATGATTTATTGTCTAACACATCGTCGTTCCTCAGTTACCTTCGTACAATTATATCTTACATCTAATCTTATGAAAGGTATATTTTAATATACTTAACAGTGCGACTTTGATAGTTGACACATAATATAAATGATAAAATGTGAATATTATTGAATGATTTTGTCACTCGTACAACTTTTAATTTGGCTATTCAAAAAATTGATTTAAAATAGTTGAATTTATACTTACTGGGATGTTATTGCTTATTGGGATGTTGAAATTATGTTTGTTTTAAATACATTTAATTGATATTCCATAAATTCATTTTGTATGATTTCATTGACCTTGACGTTGTTCAAAATCATTTTGTATTGTATTGAAACTGTATGTCTATGACCTATGTTATGTACTATATTAACCCATTGAGTCGCATTGCAACCTGATGCACCCTACTTTGAACAGTATTTTACTCTGTCTAACGCCAGACGATTTTACTCGTCAAGGGGAGAGTGCTGGCGCTTAATGGGTTAACTGATCTATCTGCCCATGTGTTTAGTTAACCCATTGGGTCGCTTGCACCCTGATGCACCCTACTTTGAACAGTATTTTACTCTGTCTAACGCCAGACGATTTTACTCGTCAACGGGAGAGTGCTGGCGCTTAATGGGTTAACTGATCTATCTGCCCATGCAGGGTCTTAGCTAGAGGGCCGTGTTATCGCGGCCAAAAGTGGAAAAACACGGCTAGATAAAATGAACGCGGCTTCACTATTTATATAAGGCCGTGTAGGTTCATAAAATAAGGTGGTGCTACTTACAACAGACAGAATTTCTTTCTATTTACGTCGTAAGAAAGTTTGTAAAATCTACTGTTGTTGTACCCTGGATTCCAGAGCCTTCGAAGTAAATAATAAATTGAAATGTCGCGAAGGCTCTGGTTCAACGGGGCGATTCTTTGATTAAACCGCGCCAATCACAAAACAGAATTAGTGGTTTTAGTACAGATTATTATTATTATTATTATTATTAAAACTTATTTACAAACAATAACCCTTCAGCCTACGCTGCTTTTAAAGGGGTTGTTTACATAAAATAAAGTACAAAATAAATATTTACAAAATAGTATAAGTATTTACAAAATAGTGTAGTTGACTAGAAGTCTTTACAGTTGGATATTTTTTCAACGTAGGTGATTGTTGAGCTTAGTTTTAAAAGAATGTATCGTCAACTGTTCGTGAACGTCTAAGATTTCGTTAGGTAATGAGTTCCAGGCGGAAGCTCCTCGATATGAAAATGACTTTTTCATAAATGATCTATTAGGTTTATTGAGAGTTAGTTTCCGCCCGTTGCTCCGCATGTGGTGACTTCTATTATCACAGTAGGAGAACATATTACTGATGCACTCCGGCGCTATACCTCGGATAGCCTTAAACGTAATTAGAAATTCTCTTTTCTTAAGAATGTTATTAATTGGATGCCAACCTAGACTCTGGAGGATTGTTTTTGATCTTGTTTCATAGTTTAATCCAGTAATTATACGAGCGGCTCGCTTTTGTAATTTATAAAGTTTTTCCAAATTTGTTTTGTTTCCATCGTTCCAAACTGTCGAACAGTATGTAAAGTAAGGAACTACCAGGGAATTGTAAATACGGAGTGAGTCGTTGTAAGGTACGTGTGGTTTTGCCTTTCTAAGCAGAGCTATTGCACTTGAAAGTTTTTTGCATTGCTCATTAATGTGTTCAGTCCACCTTAGTTCGTTATCAATTGTAATACCTAAGGTTTTTTTTTGCTTAACTTGTTTAATAATGGATCCGTTTATATGTATACGAATATCAGTGTGAAATTGATTAAGTTTTCTTTTTGAGGCTATTATCATAAATTCTGTTTTGTCTGTGTTCAATGTCAACCTATTTGCTTCTAACCAGTCGTTAACATTGGATAAGTCAGCGTTTAGTTTGTGCTCAATTTCGGCTGGGGTCCTTCCTGTGCATGATAGATTGGTGTCATCAGCAAACATGGATGCTTGTGTATACTCAAGGCACATTGGTAAATCATTTATGTACAATGAGAATAGCAATGGTCCCAGATTGGAACCCTGTGGTACTCCACATTGAACTGTTTCTTGGCCTGACTTGTTATTATTAATGACACAAACTTGTTTTCTGTTGTTTAAGTAAGATGCTAGTAATTTTAGAGGAGTACCCTTTATACCATAT